ACAAAGTTACGCTTTTTTTCATTGCTTCTCTCTTTCCTGTGTTAAGAAAATAATATCCGAAAAGGCGGCAGAAAACTCGAGTTACGGAGAAATTTTTTTTTTTTCAGGAAAAGCCTTGGAGTTGGAGAGGTTAAGTCAGACAGGGGCTTTGAAAAAAATTCGACTTGGGGTCAACTGTGATACATCTCGTCAGCAGCCCTTGCAAAAAAAAAAAATAAAATACCAAGAGTTGGGATGGGATCCTAGAAAGTTTGCTGCCCTGATTTCCGGCATGTTGTTTTGCCCAGTGCCGGTCAATCGGAACAATCCACGTCACCGGTTCGCATCATTTTTCACGGACATTGTGGGGAGAGCGGAAATGTCTCATTTTTCTTGCCGGACGCGCGTTTCGCTCGCTGATGGTCCTGATGACTCCCCCATGTGCATATTATTGTTGCTGATCAAATCCACCGGCCTAATGAGCAAAAGTCGGGTCGTGTTTTGTCGTGCGCATTTTGCCCAATATCCCTCCGAAGCCCTGAACAAATACGCCACGGTATATCGTATAAGTCGGTTAGTGGAGAGGAGAGAATATAGACACTGGTATTTTACTGGGTACCAGTCGTCGAAAAATCCACCAACGACATGAAGTCTCAATCTGCATTTCGATAATGAATGATGAACACGCAAACGAATCTGAATCATATCGCTATGTTCTCGAGGTGGATCGCTTAATTACACCTTTCAGCAGGAACAACAACAATAACAAAGAGCATTCCAACGGTGTGAACTGAAATCTGTTCTTCATGATGATCACGAACTCAGAAATCGCTTTTTTACATTATGGCATTTCAAAAAGGCAATCTTTTGGTGTCCCAGTTAAAATCCTCCAAACCCCTGAATAAATCAACAAAACTTGCAAAAAGCCTCTTTCAAGTTCCCTAAAAATGCTTTCAACTTCTCGCTGAAAGAAATTTGGCATTTTAGGACAAAATTTACTAATTTAGCATCGCTACCACAAAAATCGCCACGATCAGAAAAAAAAAGTGTCAAGCATGGTTTCGAGACCTCGGATTTTATTACTGAGGCTTTATTCCCTTCTTCGAGGCTGTCCGCATAAGGCATAAATTCGCCAAATATGGATGATTTCACCGAAAAGTGTCTCGCGGAATTTCTGGAATTTCGCGGGATTAATAACCAAGCAACGAATCATTCATCGAATTGGAATCCAGAGTTGGTTCAGCAAAGCGCATGAAGTCACTCATCATCTAGGTGAAGCCCTGATGGTGACGAGAACCCTCAAGTGGAGCGTTGCAAATTAGCCAGAGGGGGGGGGGGAGAGAGAGAGATTGGTGCAATCCGGGCAAAATTCAGCACGCAGATTCCACAGAGAGGGGCCCCTCTTTCTCTGATGATCTGTTGTTTCTCCCTCTCTCTCTCTGTGCTGAAAAGGTGATGAAGGGTCTGGGCTCTTTATATATATTTTTTTTTCGGGGCAAATCGTTAGGCCCTGGTCACGTGGGTGACGATGAAATGGATGGACCCGATCCGGACTCGCGTAAACATCAGTGACGTCGGCAGAAACGACGGGGAAACCTGAGGAAAAGGGCCCCGTCGCGGGGCAACATTAGCGCGCCAGGGCGATTGATTAATGAATGAAAATGTAAAGCGGGGAAAAAGAAGTCAACGCTCTTCTCATCCCCCCCACCACTACTACCAGCTCAGAAACACCGATGTTTGTTGCCCAATATGCCGCAGTGTGCAATTTTTTTTTTTTTTTGGCGAGGCTTTTTCCCCAGAGCCGAAAGCCCCGGCGCTGATGAGGAATGCTGGTCGCGCCGCAATAACACACCATGCGATTTGCGGATATTTTGCTTTCCCGGGGACTGCAGGATTAGGACACCACAGAACTTCAATATTCAGTGGTTGCAAAACTGGCCAAAAAAATCCCAGCATTTTACAGGCGTGCCGTTTTTTCTTTCCGCGACTCGACTCTGCGAGATGAATCAGCAGCTGACTTCACCACGATTCCAATCAAGTTTGCTTTAAATTTTATCAAGATCTTTGATGATGATCTGTCTTTCCAACGACTAGCGACTTTTCCGAACACAAATCCTACACGAAGACTCAAATTTCGAAAATTGCGAGAGAAACATCTAAAATAAAATGAATGATTGCCGCACTGCGTCTGAAATACAGGATCTGTAAACGTATATACGCTCAAGAGGGCCAGCAATAAGCAAAATACCTGAAAAAAACACCAAGAAACTAACTGGTCTTCACTTAATTAATTTAATTTTTCATTTTGAAAATCTCACAGCAGTTTCAACATGCATTCCTTTGGAAACGCAGCGAAATTCAATTAGAAATTATTGCGTCTTCTTTGTTGAAATGGTTTGGTTTTCGCGTCGAAATTTCGAGATTGGAGTTCTTGTGGAAATAGTGAAGTTGATCGATCATATGATCTTAATCACCTGTGTGGAGAAAGAAAGTCATCTTGAGAAATATTTAATGTTTTTATTAGTCTCTTGGGAAGCTTGAGCTGCGTCCACCAAGAAGACTCATCTTTTTGAATTGGTTGATCTTTCAATTTAAAAAAAAAATGTTTGATTTTCGCTGCGGAAAATCACTCAATTTTTAAACTCAATTTTTTTATCGCACAGATAGGCGGCGTTCCCTTTGCGAAAAGGCATAAAAGGTTTATAGCAGGGTATTTTGATGAGTCCCCAGAAGAGATGAAAATAACCTCGCGCAGGTAATTAATTATCTCTCAGCTGCAATCCAGACGGTACCCTCATAAACGATCCCGTCCCCCTTTTTCTTCCCCGACATTTGCTCGCCATTAATTTCACCTCCCCTCGGTCTCGGAGCCAGAAAAATCGCTGCTCCCAACGCAGAAAATTTCCGTCCCGTCACAACAAAGACGTCAAGGAATCTCTTTAGAAAAGTCTTCGCGAGAACAATCAAAAGACGCCTGAAGAATTATCGTTATTTTTTATTTATACTATTTCTTTTTTTGCTCTCGCGATAAAGCGGAAGAAGACTTTCTTTTCCTGGATAGGTGCGAAGTCGGGGCCTGGGTCCAAACTGACAATAGGCCGGCAATTCATCGCCGAAAAATCGCAGGCCTGCGGGTTTCGCAACCCGAGGAAAACAACCGTGACTCAGCCTCTTGGCTTGGGGCATAAATTATGCAGGGGCTCCTCCCGCGGGTGGCGTGAAAAATGCACACGACCCGAAGAACACATTTTTAAAGCACTCTCGAAAATAAAAAATAAATAAATAAAATGAACCTGTTGCTCAGAGAAGTTATCAGGGAGAAACACCACCTCCCCCTCTCGATAATCTGTTTTTGATTCAAATTGCGACCAGCAAAAATTATTTCTTGGAACTCCCCCTGGAAAAGAATCTGATACAATATTTGGATCATGCTTTTGTGTCACTATGTTCTTAAGGCACTTGTAAGAGGAAAAATGCGTAAAATATTGAGATTTGGTTCAAAAACGTTTGTCAATCTCGAGCTTTCTTCGCGAGTCAAACAAAATTTTGGGCGGACAGAGATTTGGAATACAACATCATCATAGGTAAAAGAAGTTCACTTGTCACACGTGCATGTTTTAAAAATATTCAGACAAATCGTGTCTTAGAGCTAATGAATATTCAAAATGATGGAAATACAGCAGACTTAGTTCGGAATTCCGGAAATTTAGATCGTAATTACCAATATAGAATTAATGGGGAGGGGGGTGCAACATACCAGTTATTATTTTCGGTTTACGGATTATGGCGTAATATATTCTACGAATAGGTCACCATATTTTCAGAGAGACTCGGTATTTCCGCTGGCCCATGCGAAATTTAAATGAAATTCCTTCGCCAGCCGAGACTCTCCAGAGAGGAAGCTCAGGCTCTTCAAAGGCCCCTCGAAAACGCGTTTGAAATACTGACAACACTCGAGCCAGAGTTGAACGAAGGCGGGGGGAGAAAATGGCGTGCCAAAGTAAAGTCCAGCACCCCTCTTGCTGAAAAAAACCGCGGATCCCACTTCATCCCCTTCATTACACATCCTCGTGAAGTGTTGGGGATTCTTTCTCTCGCTCCCTTTCGGCACAGCAAATCCTGGTCCCATAATTCCGGCTCCTTTCACGCCACATGATTGATGGAGAGGACAAACCCACGCGAATTGAAACCCAAGGAACAAAGCCCAGAGAAAGAAGCTGCAGAGAGAGAGAAAAAAAAAGTTGCCCCCACTGGACCCGATCTGACCTACGGTTATGAATAAAAAGACCCCCGCTAGCAGATGAATCCCCGAAACACTCCCCCACCAGGAGTTCCAGAAAGTTCGTCATCTTTACAAAAATCAGAACCGTCCACATAATATGTCTCTAGGATACCCATTAAAAACCGCATCTACGAAAGCGTTGTTATACGAAAAGCCATGAAACATTTTCTAGAAGCGTCAGGAATCACGTTTTATAACCCCCCAAACTCAGGAAAATTTAATCATCTTCTCAAAATTCGCCGAATCTTACAGTTTTTGAATAATTCGAGCATTTGAATCAGAGAAAACTTCAACAACAAAGTTTCCAAATGCTGTTAAAAGTGGGCAGTAAGGATTTTCGTGAAGATTGTCCCAAATACGCGGGGGTTTGAATAAACCGTGCGAGATTTTGCCGCAGCGCAAAATGATACATTTACTTCAGCCTTGCTCACGACTATGTTTTCTTAAAATTTCCTAAACTTTTTTGACAAAATTGAAAAAGTAAAAATACATTCAGGACGAGGTGAACAAATCCAGGTTTTCTGTCGCAGTTTCTTGCCCAATTTCGCGAATAGGCATAATTTTCTTTCTGAATCATAGTGATGTAGTGAATCATACACGAAGGACATTTTCGGGTCCAGTTTTCCTCATGTCCGTTCAAGAAATTCGCCACCTTACCAAACCCCGACAGGAAGCCCTCCACATCACCTCACAAAAACACTCGAGAACTTAACGATATCCCACGTAATTCCCCCCACCCTCAGGGCGTCGTGCCAATCGATCCCCCAGGATATAGGTTTCCTGGATCAACAGGGCACAGGATGACGTTTTCCATCATCTCCGCGGGTGACAGGTTCCGCTATGGGATCGCGATTCGGCAACACTGACAAAACCCAAATGATTTCTTACCTTGATGTGGTAAGAGTTGATCTTGTGACGTGGCAAGACGTTGAAGGAGCTGAAATCTGGGCGACGGCTGAACGAACTGTTCCCACCGGATCCGTGTCTGCAAAAAAAAAATCAAAAAATATAAACTCCTCAACTCTTCAAAATCACGGAAATTGAAAACGCAAAATAATTCCGTCCACGGATGACGAACGTCTTTGTGGGCACAGAAACCCGGCAGAGAACAAAAAAGAAACTCGAGCACAATGAATCTGCAGAATCTTCGGCACGTGTTCGCAGAAAAAAAAAACGGAGGAAAAAGAAAATCCTCGCAAGAATATCAAAGGCAACGCCGCTAAAAAAAAATAGAAAAAAAGAATGACGAAAAGGAGAAAGAAAAAACCTTGATTACCCGCCAGGAAAAATTGCGTCGGCGGTTGCATTTATTTTCCCGCGGAATGAAACGAGCCGATGGGGGTTCGACTTGATGAACGGATTTCCGGGAGGCTGTGAAAAAGAGATTTCTTTTTTTTTTTCGTAGGCCCTCCCTTGGCGAATCTCACATCAGGACACAGGGTTCTAAGCACAGCTTTCTTCAATTTTGTTTCCCCTCAGAATGCAAAAAAAAAAAATAAAACCAAATGAAAAATGCTCTGGGAACGATCACAGCATGTGACTGGAAGTTTCCACAAACTCAGACTAGACATGGTCGATTTCACAGGATAAATACGGTGTTGATATAATTCAAGAAGCTGTTCGAATATTTAAAAATTACAGCCACTGCAATTCCAATCGCCGTGAAAATCTGAGAAACTTTTCAACGTTAGACAATTCAAGTTGAACTAAACTGAACATATAAAAGTACTCTATCAAAATTACCTTTACAACAGGTACACTTTTTAGTCCCTACAGCTCACGTAACACGGATGGTTCAAAAACATCAATTATTTTTTAAAATATAGGCTTTCAAGATCCGAGTTTCTCGAGCAGAATCTGAACGACAGTAAACTCAATATAATGACTTGAATCAATCCATAGATCATTCTCTAAAGCTTTTTTTTTCTTAATGCAGCCCTCGCTCATAAATTTGCGTTTTAGTACAACCTTCACAGTCTGAATAAGAATTACACAAATAGACAGAATGAGACTACCTTTTCGTTGGAACAGGGGATTTTTCTTCGATTTCAAACATTTAATAAACACTATCAGACCGCCTCGAAACGCAAAAAACTTTTGAACGGTCCAACGTAATCTTATTTTCTGACCGTCATGTGGTCCAACTTCAATAAGTCAACTTGTATTTCAATAATTTTATTTACTAGATGGCAGAGGAAAAGAAATGATCGATCACGACAACATAAAAATGAAAACCCATCCCCATATTTTGCCTGTTATTTCGATTATGAATGCGTAAGATTAACAAACGATTAGCGAACCAATCCTCGGGATTTGAAGCGACGAATCTAATCCTTTCGTGGAAATGAAGTAAGGTGCTAAAATAAATCTCGCGGAGACATCCTAAAATAGGTCATGATCTTATGACCCCCCATGACTTGTCAAAAATGGTACTGTGTCAAATGCGACCATAAATCTTACGGAATTCCTTCATCAGATACATATGAGAGAGAGAGAGAGAGAAAGGAGCCACGTACGATTATTCTACGCTCTCGCATAACGCAATGTTTCTCTCATAATTCGAATTTTATTTCCTTCTCAACGTCAAGAGCCGTTTTGAAATTCTGACAACTCGACAACGACACTCTAACCCCAATTTTTCATCGCCCTAAACATGGTTCGGATCATCGACGCCCACGAGAGGCGTAGCCAAGCACGGGGGACAATACCGGATGTGGGAAGCGCCGTCAGCTGAAAAAGGGGCGAGAAAGGCATTGAAAATAAAATCTCAGGCGTTGCCGCACCATCAGCGTCTCATCAACGCCCTGGCGAACGAACAATCAGACCAACACTAAAATTATGGTTTCGCAAAAGATGAACAGCTCGTAAGAATGGGGAGAGGGATGGAACGAAAAAAAAAAGCCCCCTGTTGTTTTCGCAGCAAGGAGCTAATGACCCGAATGATGCTTTTCCGCAATCGAATGAAAGAAATCACATCACGAAGCATTATTCTTTTTCCTACGAATTTTGGTTTCTACAGTATGGTTTTTTACATTTCGAATGGGAATTGATTTATTTATTTTTTATGGCCAGTGATAAAATATTTACGGGAATTCGCAGCAACGTCGAGATTGAGAAGACAAACTGAATTTTACAATCCCTTCGAACTTCAGAAACAAATTTACAACAAAATTGATTTATGTTTCGTGCTCAGCGATAAAATATCTAAGAAATTTCGAAAGTAAATCTAGATAAATAGGAAAAACTAAATGTTACTGCTCCATCGTGGTGCAGAAAAAAGTTTCCAACAAAAACCAGAACGCAGAGAAAAATCGCTTCTTCTATATGGATGACCAGAATTTTAAATATTTCGGCTCAGCTTACTTTTTAGAAGGGAAAATAAGTCTAAAAAAGAGACAATGAAGTCATAGGAGGAAATTTTTAGATAGATATATTCAGGGAAGTGATTAGTATCCATTGGATACATTGCATATTTTCGAATTAAGTCTTGCCTAGCATTTTGAACGAGAATCGATGACACTATCGATACTGAGACATTTTTAAGGTTTGCTAACATCGGGAAAAGGCTGAAAAAAATGTCAATAATAATTTTCTTTAACGATGTTCATAAATTAATTGCCTGCGATCTCAAAATGCCAGTAGACTCTTAGAGTACTGTGTTTCAATAAAATTAAAGCATCAAAAACAAAAATATATAATCGACATTGCTTTCGTGCATGAAGGAAGATGGCAGGTACCCAATAATAAAAACCGAATAAGAATAGATAAGATTAGGTACGTCAGTAATTCTTGGTTGCGAAACTAAACAATAAGTTTTTCAAGGTACTCCAAGAAAAGTTTAGAAAACTTGGACCCCTTTTATTCAACTGTATACGGTATTGACATTTTACACAAGAATCCAAGAAATCAAAGACGCACCCAGAATTCTACAAAAAAATGTCAATCATCCCTTGATCTGCTCAGTTGAACCGTTCTTAGTGCAGGTAGTTCATCTCTCTCAGTCTCCCCTTGAAACAAGGTTTTTCCAACGAACAAAACAAACAAATAATAAACCAGAGAAACATCTGTCAGAACAGCTGATGTCCAACGAAAATGTCCGGCATCCGCGCAACGGAACAAGGAACAAATACCCTCAGAGAGCAAATTACGAGCCAGTTGCGAACGCAATGAAAGTGAGCATGGCCGCAGAAACCACACCGAAATTCCACAACAAAAGAAAACTTCTTCTTCCCCCTTTTCCCCCAAAACCTCAGCGCATTGACCCAACAGAAGCAGATTCGAGAGGCGGGAAAAAATAGTTACGACAACGTCGACGGCGCGAGAAGAAAATATAATTTTAAAAAATACCGAGACGTAAGAAGATAAAAATAATAATGGAATCCAAAAAAAAAATAAGCTGGGGTTCCGGTGTAAGATAGATGTTAGAAAAAGGAAAAAGGGAACCAACCCGACTCTGGAGGCTCCATTGTTTCGCAATCTCAGCAACGCCACGAAACGTGGGCAGCAGCGACTTCAAGAGATATTTAACGACGACCGGTCGACGACCCGCGGTCAATCACCGCTCAAACGGTGAAAAGAGAAAATATTTATATTGTATACGTATATATAATAATCATCAGGTCAACATTTGCCCCCAAGGGGTTGTCCGATCTCAATATTTAAACCGAAACCACAACCTACAAAAGCGGATCAATACTCGAAAGAAAAACACTCATAGAAGCTCCTTCTTATCTTTCAGAAAAATAAAATAAAAAGTATGCCGAGTGTTTGAATTGTGTTTGCCTTCTTTTCCTCGCTCTGACTGATTTTCTTTTTCTCAACGACGTAGATAACGTTAATCTTACAAAATTCAAAATATAGAAAAATTCCCCGATGATGCATCACTTTCACTCCCCTAGAAAATCAGGAGAAACGCGACAGAAGTATTTTGCATAAATTCGTCTTGTACCATCACAAATGTTTGTAAATTTCCTAAAACTTAGCGTATATTTTTTGAAAACAGCGGAATGACCTGAAGTAATTCCTGCTTTTCAACGATCGCGGTTTTCCATATTTTTAGACGTGAAAGGAATCGAAAGAAAGATATTTGCGAGAAGCTCTGACTAGAGATCATCATCCATTTTTAAATTGAAAAATTGCAAGAGAAAATCGAAACATCACGCATCAAAATTTACGTAGGTTCATTTTAACACCGGTCATTTGCTAAATAGGTGTCTCCTCAATATAGTCTCGCTTTGGTTGAGTTCGATATTCAATTTCAGTGAAAAAATCAATACGTAAAAATCATTTATGTTTATATCAGTTCACATCGGACCATGTTCGGTTCCGATGCAATCTAGAATGACCAAAAATGCAACAAATGCTCAAGAATTAGTCAAGACTCAAGAGTCTTGATTTCTGCTGGGATTTTTGGAAAATAAGCTATAGTAACTTAAGCGTAAGTTATTTATTATTGATAAGAAAAGAGTTTTCCTTTTCTAATAATAGTGAATCTTTTATTCCCACTTTGGAGTCCCGGACTTTTTAGCGAATATTATACCGAATGGCGTCAAAATGGTAATCCAATGCAGTGTCACATTTTTCTTTCAGTTTCACTGCGAACTTCTCGTCCTCGCCCTGTGCATAATAAAAATAAATAAATGAACAAAAAAGAAGACCAAGAAGGATCATTTCTGAAAGGAAATGTGGGGATATATATTCAGAGGACGTGTCGCTTTCCTTGGGTTGGTGACATATTGCGGTGGAGCCTCGAAATTTATGACCTGCCGCGGGGGAAGAGTTACTTTATTCCTCGCAGCTATTGCTCAATGGAGGAAGATTTTGAAATCTCCCTGGGGAACGGTTGAACAACCTCGACACCCAACTGTCGACTATGAGGCGGATAAGGAAAGTAAGAAAAGAAAACCAGCCCCGCATCGCCACGGGGCAAAAGAGAGAGAGAGAGAAAAAAAGGAGGAAAAAAAAGATGGTGAAATCAAGCACGGAAACTTTATTTATTGTTTCTCGCAATTTTTTTTCTTTCTTTTTTTTTTTTAAAGACGCACGAGAGTGTGAGGCAACAGGGCAATCACCTCGCCGCAAAGGAAAAATGTCGTATTATTCTTCCTTCATCCCTCGTTGCTTGACCACATGCACGATATCGCGGCAAGAAAAGAGATAGAGATAGATAGATAGATGGAAAACGAAGTTCTACTGACCGACAAAACCGGGCAAAGAGGGGCTGGGAAACCTAGAATTTCGGGCTCCGGGTGATTTCGAAACCGCCGGCCTTCGCGGCGTAATTGACAGCCGGTAATTATCGATCATTTGCGCCGTGATTCCGAACCTTTTTTTTTCGTTTCATCTCTCTCTCTCTTTTTTTATCCCCCCCTTTGCGAGAGAAAAAAACTGTTCCGCTCTTATCGTTCCTTTGGAACGCATTCAACCATCATCAAATGAGTCATTCACAATTAACCCCGCGAATCCCCACACCCAGTAACGACTTTTTGAAAGTCTCCACACGAGTTTCTGTGCAACAAACCGTTTCACATATCTTCGCAAATTGAAACAACGAAAATTACGATGGATTTTTCCTCTACCACTTTTCCGGGGAAAGCAATGTCCCACGTCTTTTATATTTGATGATTGATTTCATTAAATGGATCGCGGGAAACTTTTTCCGAAAGAAAAGCCCTCAGAAATAAAGACGCTGAAAAAAATCAAATTCTTCGCCAATTTCCAACAGAAAAGTGCCAGGAAAAACATCAGACATATTTTTATGATACCCTCGATTCGCCCCAATTCATCAAACTTCATCCCTGAGGAGATTTGAAAATCTGTTGAGGTGCAAATCAACGGAACCCAAAACACCTCGAGTTCTCAAAACAAAAATTGCAATTGCAGATTACCTCGAAAATATCCACTATCGTATCACTGAACGAGTGAATCTCTCCAAGAATCCAAGAATGATTTGCTAAATGAGGCAGGAATGGAACAAAAAAAAATTGGCAAGAAAATTCTGACTCACCTTGCTCGGTCGACGACACAGATTTCGTTGCTGGACTTGCGACGGATGCCGTGGGTCGGACTCGACGGAGAGTCGATACCGGAAGTGGATCCGCTGCCAGGTGAGCAACTCGAGCTTCCTGTCGACGACATGGACGACGTGCGCGGCCGCGGCGGCTCCTGAGGCGCCATCGAGACCGCCACTGGCACTCCGGCGTGTCGCGGCGGACTGCCGGCGCCGTGCTGATTTTGCGGCTGTTGCTGTTGTTGTTGTTGTTGTTGTTGGTGTTGTGGCAGACCCAGGCCCAGCACTGGCAATGCGTTCTGCTTGTTCTTCTTCTTCTTTTTCTTCGCATCCACCTCCTGCAAAAAATTTCAACGTGCTTTTCAAACCAACTCTTTTTCGAACAAGAGCCACAAGGTTTTTTTTTTTTACTCGAGGGGAAAAGGCGATGCAAATTTCTCGCTGAACTTATTCAAATGTTCGGCAAAATTATATTATTGATTCTGCAAAAAAAATTTTGACAGGATGGCGCAGGAAATGTTCGACCACTTTATCCAACAGCAACATTGCGATGGGTTTCAGACACTAAACCAAATGTCGGCCCATTCAAAAAATTTTGAACACGTCGATCAGTCGATCGATGAAAGAGAAACATCCGTGTGATGTATAAAATAAAATAAAAGGAAATGAGAACCGTCGAACATTTGGTAAATAAGAGAAGCCGAAGGGGCAAACGAGGGGAACGGGCCGCGTTTAATTTATCAATCTACATGGAGAACAATTAAAATTCCGAGCATTAAGATTTACACCAAGCGATTTTCAAATTAAATCCGCGTCAAACCGTGTCAATGCGAAGGCGATGATCGATCGTCTTTCGCTCCGAACGGGATAACAATTTGAAAAAATCCCCGCGGGTGTAAATGACTAATGATTCCAACAACGCGGTCGGAAACAAACAGTTGGAATACGAAGCGAGTGTTTGTTCGCCTTCCGTGGTGGCTGGCTTTTCTTTCTCTTTCATTTATTTATTTATATCTCTCACGTCAGGAAATTTCTAAAAGAAATCATTCCTTCCTCTTGCTCGAATCTTTCGAAATAAAACCCGATCCCACGACGCTTTTAAAAATACACTCGGAGACGCCGCAATGAATCAACAACTGTTTATGTGGCGAGGAATCAAAATTCTTCCTTTGTTCCGTGTTTCTCGGTCAGCTGCTTTCGTATCGTTTTTCTCTCCGGGGAAATTTCCGCCAGCTTCGACTCGGCTTCGATTTCAAATTTTCAAGGGAAGCTTTTTTCATCCACAACGAGAAATCTTGATGGAAATTTTTTGGAGAAAACTGCTGGGATGAATAAAATGTCTAACCCGGATATGAACAAAAACGCATCGAACGAATCTCCGGTGAAGAAAATTTTGATGATTCTGTACATCATTCGGTCTGTACGCTTTTTTTTTCGAAAAAAAGGCCCTCGTGTAGTGCATTTGAATTTTCCCAGAATCCCGAAATTAACGAAGTGGATATGACGATATGACTAACTATTGACGATAGCTAGTCGTCATTAGTTAAAAACCAAGAAGTCCCCCAAAATATACTTTACTTCACTCCTGTAGTTGGATCGAAGATTCTTTTAATCAATATCCGTTCTGGGGCTCAAGTGGAATTTAAATTTCGCACTTACGATAGCAGATAAACATAGACTAACTCAGGGAAAATATATTTCTTTTTGATACCCGTTTTTATAACAACATTCCATTTTGTGTATTCATAGTGGGTATTGGAGAGAAGACAAAGTTTGATGAATGAACACCTTCAGTTAAAAGAGACTCTTTGCAAAGCTCAAATTACACTTTTTTCGAATCTGCAGGCAGCCCAAGTTATATAAAATATTACGAATGCTTGAAAAATCGATTCTGTGACGAAGTCTCAGAACTGCTGTTACGTCGTCACTACACGTCAGCTGCAATCAATCAATCAATCGATTCATTTTTTTTATGATCAGGCTAGGTATTCTTATCTAGTCTTTTTCCGAATGGAAAGTCCCACGGAATTCAATATACCAAGCACAGGATCGATGAGCTACAATGCGAGATGGAATCTCGGCGGGACAACATTTCAGTCGCGCCGGGCAACGCAACACAGTTGCCATAAAATTACCAACACAGGAACGCTTTTTATGGAAAACGACCCCGCTTCACTTAACATTCATTTTTTTTTTCAATACGACAAGTCTTTCTTTTTTTCTTTTTCCTGTATACACGAATAGTGAGGGAGTAAGAGAGGGAGAGAGAAAGAGACAGGTAAGTTTCGTTTGTAACAGATACCCCGGGGGCTCGATTAATGCGCGACTTTAAGTGGACTAGAATCCCAGGCTTCATGGCAATTGGAGCAGAAACCGGTCCACATCCTCAGGAACTGGTTTTGCTACTGGCTTTTTTTTTTCTAGGGGTTGCATAATGCCGGGTTTCGGGTCAACTTTCCGGTCTTTGTCGTACGGGTCAGGTGTGGGATCCCTGTCCACAGATTTTTGTCTCTTTCTAAACGTCCACTTACTCGGCTTAATGTCCAGTTTATAAACACTAATGCATCTGCTGAGTACACTGTTATTCGACCTGAAATTCTACTAAGATTTATTTATTTATTTTTTGGAAAAATTCCGTAGTTGCGGAGTATTTAAATGTTACGTGAGCAGGTGGTTCGTTGAGCAATGCACACAAGAAGGACAAGAGAAAAGCGTATCCGCTTTTAAAAAGCTATAAATATTTTGAACAAGAGCATTCATTCTCTTTCAAATGATGTCCAATTTCCACGTACAATATTTAGTACCACTTCTGCGACCAGAAGCACATACTTTTTTTTTACGATGGATCAGAAAAGATTGGCCCATGGGTTCGAGCAAAATTCGTCCCAATTTCGCGCACCTTGGAATGATACGCTAGTTTACACACATCTGAAATTTACTATGATATCGCAAGCTTGCCTGAATTTGACGATTGAGCGAAGGACACATAAATCGGTGGACAAGACGTGCATTTGATATAAACTTTTCGAATCTCATTGTTCAAGAAAAATTTATATTTTGGAGGATTACTTAATGCGAAAAAAAGATATCCTTTTCGGTTCTTCAGGAAAAATCCCGCCTTGCGCAACAAACTTGCAATACCATGAACGTTTCTCAAAAACAGGTCGTTCATCATTCAAAGATCCCATTTCATACACGTAAAGTTTGAGGAATATCGAGGAAGGCATAAAAAATTGCTGGAGTTTTTTTTTTTTCAACAGGTAGAAACAGGACGAAATCTGACCTGGTTAAGCTGAGCCCTCGGAGGGACCCAGTCGAGGTCTTTGCGCAAATGCCCTCGTCCACACTTGCACATGCAGATGCGGTAGACCAGGTCATAGCCCTTTTTGGTCCACACGTTCTGCTGGCGCTGCTTGTCGCTCCATGACCTGGCTCGACCGCAGTTTTTCAAATAAATCATCAGGCCCTGCTCAAATTCGCGGAAACACGCTCCGTGCATGTAATTCCCGGACGTGCAGGCGTCGTTGTTGCACAAGACCTGAACAATGGAGAAAAAATCAGAATTTTCATTAAAGCACAAGCATTTTGTTTTTAAATCTAGTCGAAGTTAAGTCACAGAAAGGCGATGATGGAAGAAGAATATTTTTCACGAATCCGCATGCGATAGGATCGCGTCAAAACGTGAGAATTTGACCAAAAATATCATCTCGTATTCAAAATGTTTTCAGGATTCAATTTACTCGGTAATTTAGGTATTCACTATATTTTTCAATGCATGATGAAGACTTTTGACGAAATGCTGTCATTTTGATAGCCAAGAAAATGTGATAGGACCAAGAGTTTCGGGGGCAACGTGAAAAAAGTTTTGCCGCGAATAAAAACATGGGCTTCTCAGGTCAACAAGATTGAGCAACTTCTGCTGTAGAAGAAAAAAATGACTGCAGTTGTTGACTCGGGCGAGGAGAATAATAATAATAATAATAACGATAGTAATAATAATGACAGAAGTTACGCTCGCCATGTAGCCAGTCAAGTCAGGTCAACGAACTCGAATGCGTTCAAGGGCCCAACCCGTGCTGTTGCGAAAGCTGGGTCAATTAACTCACCGCGTGCGAGGCTAACGACACGGGCGCCATTTCCATCGCCATCATCCAGTGAGTAATCGCGACGAACCGAATCGCCGCCATTTTATCTGTCGGGCCGCCGCCATTTGTCAGCCGACGACCCGAAGGAGAAAAAGTGTCTCTCCGCTCTATCATTATTTCATAATTCAGCATGATATCCTGTATTTTTGCATTACGCTGCTTCAACGCTTCCCCTCCGTCCTTTTCGCATGATCGTGACTAACACACAAGTGTCACTGCGTATCAATTTCGCCGCTGGTACATTTTAGCACGCGTCAAAAGAGTGTGTCCAAAAAAAAGAAGAAATTGGAAAACAAGCACGGAGACAGAGCAGAAACCTAAGACGATAAAATGTTTCTTCTTCAGATAATCTCGCAATTCAAGATACCGCACTTTTTTGGAAAAATGACCAAACTTAGTCAAAGTCCGCGCTGTTTTTGACATGCGCTTTGAAATACGGTACCAGTTCAAAACACTCGTTGCAATAACGTTTAAATATAATAATTAAACCGATATTTATCGATGCACTTTTCTTCTCGATGTCCGAAAAAATCCGAAGCCGTGCAATTGCAGTGGGATCATCCGAAGTAATTAAATTTGACACGGCTTAAATTGGTATGCACGTGTTCAAAAATTATAAATTCAACAATTACAAGTGAACATCCGTTTACAGAATTTTTCTAATGCTTGCAACTCAAAAAAAATTGCGCATGGAAAGGTCGTAAGTGAAATTTTATAAAAATGCGAATATATGGAACCAGATTTGTCGCAAACCTTCAAGGACTCCGATGAAAAGAAACTTCAGCCCTACATCATTTTCATGAATTTACAAACGTATCGTGAGAGGCTTCAGTATCTATTGCCTGGAGTGACTGGATTTTCTAAGATGGAACCCGACATAAAAAGATTTTTATTTTCCCGTGGTGCGAAAAGAAACGCAGTAAAATTGCATTAGTTAATGACAGCTTTAAATCAAGTGCGATGGAGTTGCACAATACGGCACTTCATTGACAAATGAATCGAACTGAGACCGAAGTCTCGGTATCATTTTCGTAATGAGAAGAGTTCTTTTTTTTATTTTTCTCTCCACTTTTTCCAGCCCGGGCTTTTACTGATTTCAACACACTCACAACAAGAAATCCTTGCGAGTCCGGTTGCGAAATTCGTTCTCGCGTTTTATTCACATACCGGGATTGAAGTAGGCTCGACAGTCAGGATTATTGCGAAGAAGGGGGAGATTCTGTTCCAACTCGGATATCCATCGAGTGGTCGAGAGATTTATTTATCTTGGCTTCGAGCCGAAAATAAAAATTAAGATGCTTCGAAATTTCGGGAGTTTCCAACATTTTTTCCCGCGCCATTTTTTTTTCATAGCAGCAAAAAAAAAAGAGCAACTAATGGGGAGGGGAGAGAATATTGGCTGACTGGCCTTGAACTCGAATCGGCGCATGCTAAATTTCTTGTCGACAGTCACGAACTCGAACCACCGTGACGCTGGTTTATTTTTTCGCGTGAAGCTGGTCGAAAGCCAGAGAGGACAACTCGTCGCTTCAATTCCCGGCTAAAATTACAGACTAATTTCGCACTCGAGTGAATACTCAACATCATTCGTGGATCACGATTTCTAATTTAAAGCATCACTCGGTGTTCCTCCATGACCACGTCAAGGACCTGAGTCTTTTCGGAGCAATTTCACGCTTCGTGTTTCGGGTAGGAGTGCAGAAGTGACCTTTTTTTTCTTTTGAGGGGCAAGTGAGACCACTACTCAAGATTACTATTATTCCAGCCTGGAAGTATGAACCAGCGGGTGCAGAGTAACATAAAATCCGAAAAGTTTTGCCTCAATATAAAACCCACCAAATGAAAACCGATTTTGGAAAAAGCTAATAAATAACAAATCTCCGCATGTTCATGGACACGTTTTAGTTTTCAATTGCTTATTCATCCTCAGTAAGGACAACTCTTTTTTTAAAGAAAAAATCATTCGTCTCACGTGGAAGAGCTCTAACTTCAAAATAATTTTCAGGCACTCTGAGCCTTTTGTTTTGACCCCAAGTTCGAATCTGCGTGAGGAAATAATAGCAATTCGATTATTCGAAGGAAAGGCGAAAGTTTCTTCAGCATTTTTGAGACGCGCTTTTTTTAGCAAATCTCCGAATTCCACAATTTTGAAAATGCTTCATCAGAAATGGTTTCCATTGAAAACTAAAATGTATACGACAAACTTTGAATAATTTCGCTGCTGCTTCTGTAATAATAGCATGAGCAGAAGATCCCAGGTGCTGCACGGAAAATTAAAAATGTATCTTGCATGTTTCAAGTAGAATATCTTCTGCAGTCTTTTTTCTTTCTTTTACCCACGGTAAGATTACTTAACATATAGCAATAAAAAGTGCCTTTATTCCACAGCTGGGATATCAGATTCCTCCGAAGTTTTTAGGAAAACTAGCTCTTCTTCAGCCATTTTCAGAAGTCCAGACTCAAGAAAAATGTGGAATGGGTCAAGTACGGTATTCGCACTCAAAGCTTCTGCTACAATTCGGATTCGTCTCCCAAATTTTAGTCACACAAGAATAAGACCATCTGAGTTATTGTGATAATAATGAAAAAAAAAACTGCTCTGAAGGGATTCCCCTTGATTTTGAGCCCTCTCCTTCGGGACAAATGCTCGCGGCGATGAATCGTCCGCAGTTGAAATGCCTCGCTAGACAGGAAAAATCGTTTCGTTTCCTCCCGTTTCTCCAATTTCGCGAGAAGTGGAGAGGGGGGGAAAAACGAAAATAAGCCATTATGATTATGGAGTTTTCTTCTGGGGATTGTTCCGGGCAGGTTGCCAGGGGAAAAGAAAACGGGGCTCGTTGCTAAGTCCGCGTCTTTCGGTTCGTCTGTTTCCAGGCGGATGGAACTGCGGGGAATCTGTCGAGCGGAGAACATTTGCATGTTCTTTGGTTCCGGAAAAAGCCCTTGCGAAACACACACACACACACACACACACACCAGTTTTATTTTCGCACAAATCGAGGAGAAATTTTTTGTTTATCCCTTTCTATCCTGAAGAGATGGAGAAAAAATATCCCTTTAATCGACTGTCCGTCGGGAGATTTCGCGAGGAAAAGGAAAAAATTTTCTTAAAATAGTTCATCTATCTCGCGAACAACAATCTACTTTTTTCCTCGCTCATTTTCGAGAAAAAAGAAGTCGATGATCCGGTCTCAAAATTCAAGCCATCAATCCGAAGACTTTCCTTTCGACCAAAAAAAAAAGAAACGAAAAGCAATGTTTTAACAACAACAAAAAGCCATTTAGAGATGATCGTTTTATCGCAGTAGAGAACTTTTTCGCTTCTGGAGAAAACCATTCCGCTCGGGAACTTGAGTAATGGAAATCCCAACATCGGCTGAAATCTCAGCTTTCTCCCCCGAAGAAAGCTATTCGACCACAGTTGGTTTTCATTTTAACGAAAAATCTGAGAAGTCGCGGAATGACTGATGATCGCAATCCGGAAAATGTATCGTCAATAACGAACGACCCGATTTAGGAAAATTACGGTATCATCCGCCAGCTTTCATTGGAATGAACCTTTCCGCTGTCGAATCCCATTTTCTGAAAATTTTTCGCTCAACGGGAAGAATTAAGATAAATTAATTTCACTGTAATCGCAACAATAAATCTGAAATAAATGTACGGCTTCGTCAATGAGGAAAAGGATCCACATACACGACGTAAATTTCACTCGGAAAAAAGGGAAATTGATGTAGAATTGCAATAAAAATCTTGAAACACGTACGAAAGTTTTTGCATCCTAAAATCCCCGATTTGAACATGGAAATTTTGCTCCTCTCTTTCTTTCAGCCCAATTTTACGGTAAATGCAAGCAAACGAAAATTATTGCAGTCCATTAAGTTTTCATTCGTTCACGCACAAAACATGACTTAAATCATGAGTCTTCGCATTCCATCATACAAAAAAATTGATGCACAAATAACATTCAATTTTCCAAGAAATTTTCAAATTACAAACGGGATGCATTGGTTGGGTAAAACTTTGTAATTGGATTGGTAAATTTTGGACGAATGAAAAATTGCGATCACAACATTAAAATTTGCAAAATTTTCAGGTTTTTATGGCATTTTCAACTGCAACGACGCAATTCAAGAGTTTGTATAGTACCTTCTGCGTACTTGAGAGCACTTACTTCGATTCTACTCAGTTCGGGTACGAAACGGATCAATTTTTTTAGTTCGTTGTTGAATGTTGTACACAAAATTAGATTACCTAAATCAGTGTTACCCAAGCTTTATTGCCCGTCCGCAGGAAATGTTCTTCATCATAAAACAATTATAAAAATTAGCAATCAAATCCGTAATCTTCGTCTAAAATTTCGGGAAGGGCAATTGTAGTTGAAATTATCTGATGAAAAGTATAAGTTGATTATGCTCCTAATAACACTTGACAAATTTTCACTTGCTGAAATTAATCATATCAATTTATCATTCTGAGAGAACCTTTCCAAGCTCACCTTTCAACATTTTTTGAATATATTCCATTACAGCTGAATTTGTTCTTAAATTAAATTTTGCGAAGTAGCATACAATTTTTAAATACCTGCCTGAAAGTATTTCAAACAAAACTTTCCTGCGGATGCGAAAGTTAATGAAACTTTGCCGGTCCACAATATATTTTGTTTTCAATTCGTTCGTTTGCGGGCAACCAAAAGTTGAGAACGCTGATCTAATTGTCTTAATTACGTAAAAAATCCCAGCAATGAGTCCTTGAGCCATTTTTTTCCCCCGGGCATTGAACAAAGCCCGCATGATTTCGTAGAAATACTGCAGCTCGTCTCACGAAATTCGATTCTAGAATCCAGCTCCGCAGCTGATTTTTTTCCAAAATGAATCTCCATACACACAAAAATACACGTGTAAACGTAGGAATGACAAAATTTGATGCATCAAGACAGGTGATATAATAAGAAACGAAGGCCCGAGTGGGAGGACAGACAACATGCAAGAGCCGCGTTGCGAAACGATTCCTGCGAAGGCAACGAACCAAACTCAGCAACACACAGCCAAAAAAAAAAAAACGCGTTTGGGCTCAGGTGAATGTCCTCGGCCCGGTCAAACGAGGGCGTTTTTCCACCGAACGCCGACTTCGCATTTCGCAATAAACCCCAAGGGGAGCCATCCTCGAAATCCCCCCCTCACAAGAAGAATAAAAATTAGAAAAAAAAACCCTTTTTTTTCGCTCGTGTGTTTCTTTCTTCCCATCTCCGCAGAGATAATCTTCCCGCAGAAATAAAACTTAGAATCGTGGAACTTCCACAAGCGACCGCCGAAAACGTGGCCAACAACCCGAAATGCTTTTTGTGGAGAGTAACCAAGTAAAACGGAGCTGCGCAGACCGTGGACAAAGAATGAAAATATATTCGAGGTATGCTCAAAACTCCAGAACAAATCGCACCATTTCTTCCGAGTCTCACCACAATCCATCAAGTAATTACTCCAGAAAATTGACCAACATTTCTTGCAGTAATTCCACGAACAACCAATTCACCAGGTCGTTAAAAATATATATCCACACTTTTACGATCGTCTTCCTATAGGCCGTAGATAATATTCTACATTTCCGCTCGCACCCCAACAAAATAATTTTTTTCCTGTTCCATTAACAATAAATCTGAGTATCATAGACTGACAGCGGCTTCAAGCAACTGAACTAAAAATGACCGAATCATATATCAAGCCTTTCACACACATCTATAAAAATTGAGTCAATGCAGAAAAAATCATTTCGCAGTGAAGAGAAGTATTGAGGCTACTCATTCAAGATGCATTCCAACCGCGAAGAATTGTGCTAGTCACAATTTTTTCCCTCGTAACTTTATGAAAAAAATAATAATGATACTGTACGCATTCTCAGATGGAATTTCAAGTTATCCATTTCTAAATGAATCATTCTTGCTTTCTAATAGACTCGCTTTAACTTTTCCGGATGAATCCTCGCGAGTTAACCCCGTTTTCTCACACCTCCGATTCTCTCAGAAGAATTTTCTCAGGAACATGCTTATTGAAGAATAATTGGCAAATATGCAGGATAAACGGAAAATTGTATTCACTATGCTACGAGGGGATGGCGTCACTTATTTTAGTAAATAATTTGATCAGGAGTTCTATTAAAATTTGAAACGCCACCCTCAATTTTACATCATTCACGTAGTGTCATCTGGAACTCGACGACGTTGAATTTATTTCTTTTTATTATTTGACAAAGTGGACCACCACCGCGTTGGACAGCATAGACTTCAAGTCGCTAATACAAGTGCGGGTTACTGTTCCAACAAATTATGCAGAAATTAACGTAACTTTTCGTGTGCCCCTGGATAATGAACGACACGGGCACGCGACGAAGCGCAGCGCATTGCGCAACCGGCCTCGAGCTTCCCCGCGTCCTCACTCCTTTTCGACTCCATTTCGTTATTCGTGTGTTTCATTTCGTTCCTACATTTTTTCTATTCCGTATTCTATTTTTTCATCCGTTTTTGTTGAGCTCTTTTTCTTTACATTTTTACTCCCCTTCTTCGTCGGTTTTAAATCGACGTTTCTGGCTGCGGGCCGATGCTCGGGGTCCCTGGCCTGATTTCCGAGCGACGAACCCGAGCCGAACTGACTCCCAACTTGCAATTCAAATCGCCTCTCATATTATTTTTTTTTTCGGGTAATTCCATGTGCGGAAAACACGTCGAATATAAAATCTCACGTTTCACCCACAAAAAAAACATAAACGGATATCCATAATCCGTATTCCGAGGGTTGCCTCCCAAAACAAGTGATGAACGTTTCTCTGTGAGCGATTCTACCACTTTGCAACACAATAATACGATTGCAGAAGATTTCTCACTTTAAAATGCTGTTTTTTTCAGAGATAAGGGAATAAGTACAAATTTAAGTGATTAAGTTCTGCAAACGAGCTGCTCGGGTCTCAAACATTTTATTTGCCTCAGTCTTAGTTGCTGCTCTATTCCAATTTATTTCGGAAATGAACATGGAGACAATTTCTAAAATTAAGCGTCAAATTTGAAATTACGCCATTCGCACAAAAATTAAAAAGGTGCTTGTAATTGGATTTCCGGACGTTGCATCACAATTAGACCGATGAAAATGTTTTGGTTCGAATATTTCATATTAGATGACCTCGCGTTACAAGCCTTGAATTTACCTGCGTTCGAATAAAAATGAAAAAAATATCACTCACAATTATCGAACCAGTCGCACTATTTCAAAAAATTTCTGCCAGTTTGAGGGAACGACTGGTGTTTGAATTTTAAACGTAAACTTCGGCGAAGGAGTTCTTTGCATCGGAGAATTTTTCCATCTCGGGTTTCGGATGAGCTCAATCCAAAATTTAACTTTTTGAATTGAAAAACTGAAACGATTGGTATCCGTTATCACGCAGAACACCAGAGGAAATCGTACGAAATTCGCCGTGTCACTGAAATCACTCAAAAAACTTCCAGCGGCTTGTTTTCTAATTGTACCATGCCTATTACATAAATTTCCGCGATACTTATTGTTGCGACCAGTGGTTGATATTATTTCAATTGTAAATAATAATTTGAGTTGCAAAATTTGATCCGGACAAACAAACAGACAAGAAAGCGAGTTAATAAAAATGTGTTAAAAACAGATTATGAATCGTCCGAAAATCGATCCTAAACGCAAAAACTATAATTTCCTTCAATAGTATTCAAATTTCGGCAATTTTCTGCCCAACACAGCGTAAATTTTCAGTTGGTGACCAAGACGTTGTGCGAAGTCACGGCCGCAATTCAAAAAATAATTATTAAATGAAAACAGGACAGCTTCTCAAGTCTTGGTCAAAATTTCACGATGGTTCGCAGAATTTAAAAAAAATCGCAAAATTTTGATAATTCCAATAAACGTTTCGATCAGGCCAGTATCCATCGGATGTTTTGTAATTACTGTACAGTTCGTAACTGTAATCTCCGTTTCCAAGCTTTACTAGCATCGTAAAACTTCTGACGGATTCCACAATAAAAATAATATCATGAAAAGAAATCCTCATTCGGGGGAAATGATCCACCAAAAAAATGCGATCATTGAAAAACCGAACGCTTTCCCATTTTCTTGTGATATTAGAAAATCGCCGACAAACGATTTCATCAAAACAAAGCCATGACTCATCGTGCGTTCCAGTACTGCGACACACAGACCAGTTATTTGTAAGAAAGTCGTTCGTTTCTGAACGCTCCAGAGAAACCAAGGATCTGCAAAAAATAAATGTGCAATTTTTCCAGACGGCACGACGACTATCACGCTGCGTGAGCAACCCAGTACCGTCATATATCTTAGTCATCACGACCGGCACAAAGAAAATAACGGGACTTTGCAGCAAATTGCAATTGACGGGAGAACTGAGGAGAAAAGGAATTCGGACTTGAAGCTTTCAAAATGATTTATGAAATAGATTTTCCTCCCATCTTATTGCGATGATTCGGTGCGGTGACGACCGGTAGCGACAAAAGTTTGAAGGATTTTTAAATGATTGATTTAGTTCAACAGTGAGAAGCAGAGAATAAAATTTTGCATCATGCAAATTGGCACATCAGTTGTTGAACTGATTCATTTCTTGGACCTGGATCCTACAAAGCTCATGCCGCTTTTCATCCAATCATCCCATGAACTGCTCTTCTGTTCATTATAGCATACAACTGCAGGAAATGCAAAAAGAAAAACTTACTCGATTACGGGAGGAAATCCCACATGAATAATTTCCTAAGATCCGAAAATTGATGAGAGCAAACAGAAAAAAAAACGCTCCAGATAATTTAAATTGTTTCAGCTTTTCAAAAAGGATCTCAACAACATGAAAAAAATACTGAGAAGTGATTCCTGTCAACCCCTGAAAGTTGCAGATCTAAGCTTGCTTAAGGAATTCTCAAGTTAAACTATTTTCAAAAAGAAAAAAAAAATCCGCAACTGTAAAATTTTCAGCAAATTTTCGATTTTTTTCTGAACTTGAAATTTTTTTTCTACCATCCTTCATCATACAATGTTGCTTCGCGGGAATTTTGGACTTCCAACACAAGATTGCAAACGGCAGACACCAAAATGATTCGAATTATAAAAATAAAGTCACCGACCCTTTTCAAAAATGTGTTTGTTACAATGTACCTCAGATTCTCCTCCATGTTATGCATGGAAAAAGGAATCAAGTCTCATTTTCAGAGGGTTAAATAAAGAAAAGCCGTCAATTCAGAATTTCAAAAATTGCAAAGGATTCCTCGATAAAAGCACTGACTGAAATACCGTAAAACTTCTGGATTTAAAAAATATCATTTAGAGGAACTGTACCGAGAATGGATTCACGTCACCAGTTATTGATGCGTTTCATTTCGATTTTTTTTAGAAAGACAAACACTTCTCAGTCTTCAAAAAAATGCATGAAATCCGAGGAGTCTCAAGAGAGATCCACAAATTATCCACTGGACCACATGCCCAAGAAAAATGAGAATTCCGGAATTCGAATTCAGACTTCGACTCGCGCAGAAGTGAAGAAAATTTTTTTCTTTTTGAAAAAGTGGACAATGCCATACTCGTGAGAAATAATATCAGCAAAAATTTGCCACTCACCCGAACACAATCAGCCAAGTTGTCGAGCCGAATGGGCGTCTTGATGCTGCAACCCGCGGGCGTGCAACAGATCTTCGAAGATGATGATTCGTTTTCTTGGTCTATTGTAACTGGAAAAGTCCCGGAAGGAGTAAAAGGAAAACAGGACTCGCCTGAACCGCACAACGTCAACTTTTCTCCTTCTCTGCCAAAAAAAAAAATATTTTAGTTCGCATTTACGTAATTATTGACGCATTTCAACTCTTTCGCTTCTCGAATGAAATCATTCCAACAGCACTCGATCACTTATTCAGAACACATCAGTGGCACGATTCAAAACCGAAAAATACAGTGAGGGCTAATACTGCAAAATTTTCTGTCACAGCACATAGATAAACTTTAAATTTTCGCGATTTTGTTCACTTTTTTCACACAACGATTTATCTCTCGAAGCACGTCACTTTTTCTAAAGGCGCCAAAGATACCTTCGTGTTGCTGGTATTCAGGTATACAGTAGATTTTTACACAACAATTTCCTTTTTATACGGAATCTTGGCTAAGAACAGCTTACTTTCAACTTGAACTTCCCCAGCGATGTCCCTGATGCTCGTCACTACAATATATTTCTCAATGTCGATCATCCAGTAAAATGATGGTTTTCAAAATTTCACAATATCAGACAGGAAAGACACGAAAATTGAAACGTGCTCCATGTAAATGGAAAATAGAAACACACGAGAACATTTTAAATCTCTCTTGGGTAAGCCTCAACGGCATATCCCTAATATTCACTACTCTGAAGTACAGTACTGACAAGCACCGGGTTTTTTCGCGACTGTGACTCAAAATCTTTCCTTATTTTTCCTACACTCGTCTCTCCTCAGTCATGTCTTTCCTCTTTTTATGATAATAATAAAAAAAAAAAAGCTGTACACAAGCAAGTACCCCGACCGTCAGGGACAGGGACGAAACGCCGACTGACGGCAGCCGGACCCGGCGTGCGCCCTTATGTTCAAGCGATTCTTCCGCGGGTTTCGGGTCTTCCTGAACTCCGCAGTTGGCTCTGGCGCTTGCGTGCGGCTCAAGCGTCTTTTTCCCGCGCTAAGCAAAAAGAGGGGATGGAAACTTGGGCATTGCTCTGAGCTCTGTGTGGGGAGCCTCAGAACTGCTCTGTGACATGGGATTATGTACAGCTAGCTAAAGCAAAAGCCCGCGCTTGAGCTTGCTGGAAAACTGTACTTCTGGGGGAGTCTGGGAAATATCCAATTATATATTCAATATCCAGATTCTGGAGATTTCAAATGAGTTAAATACAGTGGCTCCCCACCTAACAGCCCTCCAGTGTAAGGGATTTTTGCCAAACAGACCAGCTCTGCAAGCAGTTTTTCCTCCCTCCCAACAGACAAAATCCACCAAACAGACTTCTTTTGGTTTAAAATTAGTGTTGAAAATTGAATTTTTTAATTTTTTATGTAATTGAATATGTATAAAGGACTTTTTGTCTAACAGACTCGTCCATTGCACAAATCAAGTCCATTAGACGAGGGTTGACTGTACTGTACAACCTGGACACAGCTTTCAGATGGGGATCAATAAAAACTTCATTAGTCAAATACAGTTGAACCTCTCCAGATCACATTTCAAGGGAGCAGCAAAAAAAGAAATCAACTTAGAATGGTTTTGAGAATGGGGAAACAAGCATTTTTGTTGTGAGAAACATGGAAGAATCGCAAAAGATTGTAACTGGGGATATTCTGGGCCTTAAATTGCTTTCTAAATGAGTTGACAGGATGCTGAACGTGGAGGCAAGGGTTTATTATTTGCCCAATTAGTCTTTCACTTCCTTTGAAAACACATTTTCTCTTTTTTATATAAAGATAATATCCAAAAAGCTTCAGAAAGTTTGAGTAACAGAGGTTTAAAAGGAAAAGGCTTTGAGTTAAAGAGGTTTTTAATTAATTCTTTGAAAGCAAATTCAGACAGGGATTTGACTTGAGTTCAAGCAAATGGGTTCAAGTTATTGAGGCATTCTATATATTGTACTGTACAGTAAATAAATTGTGTTGAATCGAATATTATTAAATCAAAATGTTTCATTGTATGGTAAAAAAAAATGTTCAAAGGTACCAGAAGAAATAACGCCAACATAATAATTAAAAAATATGTTTATACAGTTGAACTTTGATGACTCAAACCTTCTCAAGTTGAATACCTCCCTCTATAATTTTTTTAGTCCTTGTCTGAATTCCTTTAGAAATAATGCAATAAAAGTCTCCCTAACTTGAATACTTCCCCTCAAAGCTTTATAACTCAAATTTTCTGGATGGCTTTTTGCTATTTTATTAAGGAAATACTTTCAACTACCTTTTAAGCGTACTTGGAGACCTTCAATATTTTTACAGTTTTAGTTGCTTAATATCTCACTCAATCAAATGATATCCTCACTGATGCCTTCACTACTCCAAAGTACTGAACATTGACCGGCACCAGTATCAGAAACCGGTTCGCAACTGCGACTCTGAATCTTTCCTGCCTACAAAGACAAAAACGCATAAATGTTTTCGGTCTCTATCTTCTCCATGAGGTAGATATGCAGGAAACACAGTACGGTAAAAGAACCTGTCAGGGACAGGGACGAAAACCCGACTGAAGGCAGCCGGACCCGACGTGGGCCCTCTTGTTCTGGGAACGAGTCCCTGGGTTTCGGGTCTGACTGAACTCAATAACAGTCGCCTCTGTTTCAGATATGAACAGGAAAAAAATCGGAGAGAAAGAAATTGAAACCTGATTCAAATAAAACCGTTTCCAACTTTTTTTCGACGACGATCTTTGCAGGCCAAAATTATTCCCAACAACTGTTCGTGTCCATTAAAGTTACTTTCAACAAAATTCGACTGCAGCATTTCAACATCCATCCTATAATAACTGGGTTCCAGCTTGTAAACCAATTTTGTCCGAATCTAGGGTGACATTATTTTGTTGGTTCGAGTGCAGGGCTGCAGTTTAAAAATGCATAGCAAATGTTGCTAGGAGTGGTTCTGCATTTTATCGGGTATATTTTTCCCACGCACATGATTTGGAAGGAAAACTGGGGAAATGGATGCGTTCTAGCCTGAAAACAAAATCTGTGGAAATCCAAAAATAAGACAGATAAGATATCAAGTGAATTTTGAATGTGTTTTCCAACTACTGTACATTCATACCCCGATGAGGAAAAATTGACTGCGCAAAATTATCCACTAAACTGTAAACAAAGAAGACATTAGCATATTCTAGTTCAACAAATTTATCCACATGCTTCCAAAAGTGGAAGCATTTTCTTTAAAAAAAAATTATGGTACAGTTTGCCCTCGAAAACTCAAACATCTCTGAGTAAAAAACTTCACATGTCGAATTTTTTTAAATTAACTTTTAAAATATCTTCTTTGCCTGTCTTCAGTTATTTGAAGGCAATTTCGCTAAGCGAGAACCAAATATACTGTAGTGTTAAGAAGACCACAAAAACGAGATTGATTGACAGACCATCGAACTGCTGAAACGGATTTCAGGCTGCTTTCAGCTCGATTAGTGCAATCAAATAAAAATGTAGGAATAACTTTCCAGGCAGGGTTGTATCAGCTGATAATTTATGCGGTTCATAATCCCAGCTTTTGATACCGGCGTAAAACATTTGCTAAGATAAATTTAAATCTTTGATGAATAGCAACCAGAAACCCGCATTCACGCCCCAACAGCTTTTCCTGTCGTCATTAAACTTATCGCAGAATATCAGATCGGATAAAAACCCGTTTTCCGAAGATTATTGCTCTCAAATCCGAGACACGCGCTTTTTATCCAGCTTATTTTCTTCGCTAGACAAAACCTGGTTCGAGAGTTAAAGAAAGGAATAAAGTGTTATAAAGTGTTCTTGTGGCTTGTGTGTGTGTGTATGTTTGTAAGTTACTTGTGAATCTGCCTGCAAGCTGCTCAGTCTGGAAAGTATGCTAGTTTTAATCCGCAAATCGGAATATTTTAAGCTGCGAACCGGGGAGTCGTTATGCTGCTCCATTAATTTCATGCTCATCACGCGGTTTCGAAAGTTCTCATTTTTTTTCTACCTTAATCCCACGAGGATGGTTTCAGAGACCTCTTGAGCTGATCACGAGATCCATTGATCTACAAACCTTCAGTAAATGTCGCTGATTTTATGCATTACGTATTCTAAAAAATCAATTCACGCAAATTGTTGGATAAAAGTCTCCGCGTAGTTCTTTAAATTAACTCATGAAAATTATGTAAAATCAAGTTTTCAGAAAGTCCTGGGAAATCGGGAGTAAACAGCACCTTTATCCTGAAATATATTCTTCGTGGGGTAGACAAAACCTTTGCGTTTTGGTTTGAAGAAATAAAATCACGCGATGAAATTATTTAACGTGATAACACAGTATTGCACTACTTAATTAAATAAAAAATAAATCTCGTTGAATAAAAATAAAAGTAATAAAGCTGATTTAAGAGGAATGTTTGCTTATCTTGAGCAATATAGATTGCAACATCAACAATCAATATTTCAGACAATGAATAAGAAATAAAAATTGTTTGCTGCAATAAAATATTTTTCTCAAGTTCATTCAATATAAGAAAGCTTTTTTGCGAGGTAAATGCGAGATTAGCGTGGGTATCAAAATTTAGTTAATTTGGCATGCGTCAGTGAGGCAGACAGTACATTATGTGTGCATATATTTCTGCACATTTTTAAAGTATTAACTTCTGAGTATTCCCGAGGATTTTCCATGAAAAATAAATCGAACTTGGCTCGCCGTTATATCTGCTTTAACCCTGGTTTCCCCGCATGCAACCCACTTTTGAAAATTGAAACACGGTGAAGGCACAGCTGCACTTCTGCAAAAGGAAAAAAAATAAACTTGCTCCGTGGTGAAAAATGGAATCATAATTCGATTCCGGCGCAGAAAAAAGGAGTGTGACCCAAGAGCCTGTTGAGCCTTCTCGACACAGACTTATTGGTATTCTTTTTCCCGTGGGACGCCCAGGAAAGTCAGTTGCACTTTCATGCTTTCATCATCAACTTTGGTAAGGTTCAAAATTTAGAAATTTATATTCATGCTCATATGATGTATATTTAACGTTTTCCGGGGAGCTCATCTTTCCCATTTACTTTTGACCGAAATACTGTACTTCACAAAATAATGTAGATGTAACTTCAGCACCCCTAAATAGGCCAAACCAAAAATAGTATACAATTGCAGTACTCTACTCGCGATGAGATGCACGGTATCTCTCAAATAATGCCAGTACCTCGTCAAATTTTTAGATTGCTTGCAGATGACTTCCGTTATGAATTATTGGCGATATACATTGAATATTTTTAACATCCAAATAATTTCGAATATAATTCATTTTGTTATCTGTCGGAGAAAAATCGAATAAAAATACAGTTTAACATTCAGATGGAAAATTTTACGATTTTTCCGAAGGAAGTGAACTGCCTCTATAGTTTCCGGTTTTGACATAAAACAGCCCCGAAATGATTTTCATTATGATTTTACGGTGTATAATTTCATTTTTTGTGGAAATACGAAAGAATCTCATTCCAGCAAAGGCAATAAGACCTGGAAATATCTTCTTTGTCGAAAAAAATGGCACACCGACATTCGAATGCAGTACAAGTATGACGGGGATTTTTAAAAAAGAGCATGTTTCAAAAAAGGATTTGTTGTAGTGTCGTTTCTTTCAATGCGATTTCACGAGTAGATCGTTTCGAAAAATTCACGCTTTTAGCTATAAGATCTCTTCTTAATCTCTGCTTAATACGCCCCATATTTTTCAAGACGAACTGTAAATCGAATTTGCATGTTCTTCGAGTCCCCATTACTTCGTTAAAAATGCTGTCGATTATAAATTCTTCCATGGCTTGGAAGATGGAAAGTTAGAAAAAATATCCCTGAAAGAATTCCAAACGGGGAAGTTTTATGATTGAAAGCACCAAGGTGTGTCCGTGAAATCCCGAAATACCACTGGAGAGAGTCTCATTATTCCGCACACCCCCTTAGAATTTCCCGCAACGCCGCAATCAAAACATTTCCATGGAGGATCGAGTGGTTTCCCAGTCGTCGATGCTCCGTCGACGCCGTCGATCCACGCGTCAGCATAATAAAATAATGATTGCCCGCCGATTGAGAGCAACAACAAACGCGCTCGCCGGGGATGCAAAAATAATAGAAGGGGGAAAAAATCAATTCCCGCAAATCCCCGCACACGATCCGAGACGAAGGGAGCAAAAAAATAAATAAAACGGTCATTTCAAAACTTCTCTTTTTTTCGGTCTGATGGAACATTTTTATATACAGTAATGGGATTGTCAACAATTTTCTGGGTCTTACAGTGAAGTGACGGAGTTCCGGAATGATTTAAAAGGGAATTTTCGGGGGGTTGGGGGTAAACGTCGTATTCTTTCGTTTTGCTTCAAAGAAAGGTGGAATGTGAAAAATTAAAAATGTTCTGAGAATATATGAGAGAAAAAAAGTTTCTCGTTATTAAGAACATGACATACTCGTATATTTCTTCACACAATGATTTATTCTTTATTCTGCCACATAAGGTAACTCCTTATACCTCAATTTTCTGAAATGTAACTACCCCGATTTTNTCCGGTTTTGACATAAAACAGCCCCGAAATGATTTTCATTATGATTTTACGGTGTATAATTTCATTTTTTGTGGAAATACGAAAGAATCTCATTCCAGCAAAGGCAATAAGACCTGGAAATATCTTCCTTGCCGGAAAAAATTGGTACACCGACATTCGAATGCAGTATAAGTATGACAGGGATTTTTAAAAAGAGCATGTTCTAAAAAAGGATTTGTTGTAGTGTCGTTTCTTTCAATACGATTTCACGAGTAGATCGTTTCGAAAAATTCACGCTTTTAGCTATAATATCTCTTCTTAATAAGCCCAATATTTTTCAAGACGAGCTGTAAATCGAATTTGCATGTTAATGAATATGTTCTTTGAGTCCTCATTGCTTCGTTAAAAATGCTCTGATTGTAAATTCGTCCAGGGGTTGGAAGATGAAAAATTATGAAAAAATATCCCTGAAAGGATTCAAAACGGGGTTTCGTTTATGATTGAAAGCACCAAGGTGTGTCCGTGAAATCCCGAAATACCACTGGAGAGAGTCTCATTATTCCGCACACCCCCTTAGAATTTCCCGCAACGCCGCAATCAAAACATTTCCATGGAGGATCGAGTGGTTTCCCAGTCGTCGATGCTCCGTCGACGCCGTCGATCCACGCGTCAGCATAATAAAATAATGATTGCCCGCCGATTGAGAGCAACAACAAACGCGCTCGCCGGGGATGCAAAAATAATAGAAGGGGGAAAAAATCAATTCCCGCAAATCCCCGCACACGATCCGAGACGAAGGGAGCAAAAAAATAAATAAAACGGTCATTTCAAAACTTCTCTTTTTTTCGGTCTGATGGAACATTTTTATATACAGTAATGGGATTGTCAACAATTTTCTGGGTCTTACAGTGAAGTGACGGAGTTCCGGAATGATTTAAAAGGGAATTTTCGGGGGGTTGGGGGTAAACGTCGTATTCTTTCGTTTTGCTTCAAAGAAAGGTGGAATGTGAAAAATTAAAAATGTTCTGAGAATATATGAGAGAAAAAAAGTTTCTCGTTATTAAGAACATGACATACTCGTATATTTCTTCACACAATGATTTATTCTTTATTCTGCCACATAAGGTAACTCCTTATACCTCAATTTTCTGAAATGTAACTACCCCGATTTTCTCCTCAGATAATGAAAAATTGTTGCTGAGATTATGCTTGGATTTTTTTTTTATTCCGAACTGTTCCCCATAATCGCTGGAATCCGGATATCGTGGAATCTGAACCGAATTTAATTATGATTCTGCTTTTAAAAATTAAAGTTGAATGTGACAATATCAGGAATCCACAGGAAGATGCATTAAATTCTCAGAAACTGAATTACATAAATTACTAAGGAGCGCATTAAAGGTGCTGTTGCTATGATGAAGTCATGATTTTTTTCCTATTTTTTACGCTATCTTACCTTTCTATACGTCAAATTTCAAAATTACATGTTCAAAAATGTTTGGAACGTACACAAGTTTGCAGATTTTGTCGAATGGGATTTTCCATGAACATTATTTTGGATAGTATGACATGGAGTTCATTAACGATTTTTGCCTTCAAAAATGAAAGTTCGTCGTTGGAATCCTCAGGAGGAAGATAAATCTTTCTGTATTTGAATTTTATGGATTATTAATGAATGATTTACACTAAAATCCGCCTGGAGCTGATTTCTCTTTCTTCCTCTTGAGAAAAACTGCAATAACTCCCAGAAAATTACAATTGACAGATGAGATCATGTATCGGGGCGTGATTCTCCGAAAGTATTTTAGCTGGAAGGGTGGGTGAGCTGAATCTATAACTTTTCGGATGCCCCTTTTTTGTGGACGTAGTACTCTGTCGCCTGTCACAGGCAGCTGCTGTCGATGTCGCTCGTGCATTCGGCAGAGTGGCATGAATAACGACGAGACACATTTCCTTTTCACACTCACACTAGTACCGTCCCCCCACATCTCTCAGGAATTTCAGATCTAGTGTCCGATTTAGTATCATCCGGGGAAAAAATAGCGCTGTTTTTACCAAAGGGAAAATGGAGCGGATTGTCTGAGGAAAACCGATGGATGACGTGCTCAGCGAGTCAAAAAGTGCACTGGAATCTAAATTGTTCATAAATTTGTCCGTCGATCAATTTATAGAGGAAAGATCAGTCACATAAAAAAAATGAACCAATATACAGTACAGTATTTTTGAAATTTTAAAACCGAGTCCAGGAAAACTTTTCCGAGTTGCTTAAATCGCAAGAAACTATGGCATAATTTATTCGACACGAATCTCTCAAAATTCGTCAGTTATAATAGCACGGAAAAAAACCTCAATGTATTCTAACTCAAACCTCTTTAATTCAAACTTCAAGAGGCCAGCCAAAAAGTCGAGTTAGGAAGGTTTCGAATTAAGGAAACAAGCAACTTTGTGGGCGGAAAGAAAGACAAATTAAAGAAATTGTGATATTTGATATTCTGGGCTTTAAATTGCTTTTCAAATTACTTGACAGGATGCTGAACTTGAAGGCAAAGATTCACTTGTCCGAATAGTGTTTCACTTCCTTTCAGAACACATCAAGTTACATTTTTATTGCTTTTTCTCTTTCCTGTGTCAATAAAATAATAGACAAAAGACGTCCACAAAATTCGAGTTCCAGAGGTTTGAGGGGAAAGCTT